AGGAGGTTCAGTGAGGTGACAGCCTCAGTCAGTGGCTCGGGTCTCAGGCTCTGTGCCTCTGTATCCAGTGCCTTAGAGCACTTAGCTCCCCTGGGGGGTGTGGAGGAGAAGGAAAAGCGACCACATCTTCTGCTGTATCCACTCTGCCCCATATCACCCACATGCACCCTTTAGGTTAATTTTAAAGAATAAACTCACTGCCATAGAGTCAGTTCTGACTCATAGCAAACCCCCATTGGGTTTCCAAGGCTGTAAATGTTTACAGACGCTGATTACCCCATCTTTCTTCCACAGAGCAGCTGGTGGGTTCAAACCACCAACCTTTTGGTTAGCAGCCAAATGCCTTAACCACTACACTGCCAGAGCTCCTTTTTAAAGCGTAAACACTCTTTATAAGTTATTCTTCACAGCTTAAAGAATGTACTGATTTCATCTGATAGGTTAAATTGTCAACAGCCTTTAAAAATAGGTCGTATAATTAATCTCTAAGTTTCTATCACTTTCTCTCATGAAGTCATGAAGTGAGATTGAAGTCAGACAAAAAGACTGCTCACAGCAGCTTACTTTTTAGTTGTAAAATTTCAGAAACATCCTAAGTCTATAAAAGTAAGGGAATGATTAAATGAATTATGGTATTCTACTCAGTAGAACAACCATTTAAAATTATATTTATCAAGAGGTTTTAATAATGTCCAAAAGCAGGATGCAGAACTGTATATATCCACCACAAACACAACTTTGGGTTTATTTTATTTAAGCCACGTACATAAAATCAAAGTCTCAAAGGAAAGTATCCCAAAGTAATAGTGGTTATTTGATGGGTGATAGGATCCTGAGTGATTTTTATTTTTACAAGTTGTGTTTCTTTTTTAGTTTTCCAGTGAGTATAAATTACTACAATAATTAAAAATGCATATGTGTGTTTGTATATATTTTCAATGTCATCATTTAACATAGAAGGTATTTGGAGCTCAGCTATCTTAAAAATCTGAAACATAATTAAGATCTTGGAATTAAAAAAATCATCCTGAGCAATCAAAACTAATGTTACAAAAATCATATAATAGAACATGTTATGCCTAGGACATCCTGTGGTCCATCACTCAAATCCTGTTTACTCTTACTTTGCACACAATTCTTTGGATCTGCTTTATAAGAACACAGTAAATTAGAAGCAAAACATTAGAAAAAGGAAAGAAGAGAAGCCTCTGCAGGCAGGAGCAGTGACATAGCTGCACTGGCAGCCTGGCAAGCAGAAAGGACACAGAGAAGCTCCAAGTGCAGCCTTCGGGACTCTCCCACTCATGTCCTCAGAAAGAGATGTCCCTGAAAATTCTGTAGTCTCCTTACTGTGTCAAAGCTTACTAACACATTTACATTGATGACCCAAAGTCATTAAGAAAATACCTTTATTGTTTATTTTGTTTAAGATTTAAAATTAAAAAAAAAAAAAAAATTGAAAGCTTTCGTCTCACATGGCAAAAAATGAAAGAAAAAAAAAAAAAAGCCAAAACATGGTGATCAAAGAGTAAACCTTAGATATGTTAGACCTATTTTTTATCTATCAGAATAACTAATATTCTTACAATTCCTACCAAACTCACAGCCATCGAGTCAGATCCGACTCATAACAACCCCTCCTTGGGTTTCTGAGGTGGTATTCTCTACGGAAGTAGATTACCCAATCTTCCTTCCGAGGAGTGGCTGGTGGGTTTGAACCGCCAGTCTTCTGGTTAGCAGTCAGGTGCCTTAGGCACTGCGTCACCAGAGCTCTTTTACAATTCCTAAGAGGGATCATTTTACTGTTACTTGCGTTTTCCAAATTGCATCTGATATTGTCATTACCTGAGTTCTTAGAAGTATCCAAGGGAACTGAAAAATAATATCATGAAATCAGATTGACAGAGCCTTAGTGTCCATCTGTTAAAATAAGAGTAACATCCCATAGCTTAGATACAAAAAAAATTGCCATCAAGTCAATATTGACTCATAAAGACCCCATAGGACAGAGTAGAACTGCTCCATTTTTCACCTATGGAGGCCAGTGGGTTCAAGTTGCCAGCCTTTTGGTTAGCAACCAAGCTCATATCCACTGTGCCACGAAAGCTCCTCATAGCTTAGATAGATAAGACAAACCTGAAACCAAACCTGTTGCAAGTGAGTCAGTTCTGCTGGAGAGTTACATGAATAGCATTTAGTTTCTCATTTGCACTTGGTAAATATTTAGTTGAATCTGAATGTAGGATGCAACAGTGAGCAATGACTCTGGAGTCAGACCAAATCTAGTTCAGACACCAGCTCTGCAGCCTTGAGCAAACCATATAACCCACTCCCCTAACTGCCTTTGTCACGGCATAGACATCAGGGTCCTGTGTATACAAAATACCTTGCACGGTGCTTGGAACATTATAGATGGACAGGAAAATAAATGGTAGCTCTTTTCCCATTGTAGTTAGGAAGGAGGACTGTCACACTTCATTACTTTTCTGTTGTGCTAAGTTGAGGAAAGTTTTTAGGGAGTCTCAGAATGAAGGAGAACTACAAAATCCCCCTTCCTCTTGCATCATAGAAGTGCCTGGTCTGCCCAGGCCTGTTCCTCAGCCCTGTCTTTTATCAGGCCAGCTCTGAGTCAACTCATTCACCCTTCACAGCTTTGAGTGGTTAAACATCTGACCCCTAGTCATATGGCCAAAAACATTACCTTCAGTGTAGATTTGGATAATAGCTTCACCCTGGGTCGGGGTGGTAACTGAGAGCTTGGCTTGTCTGCACAGAGTAGATTGTGGATGGTGCTGATGCTGTGTTTTGGTTTGATTACCTCGCTGCCCTGCAGAATCATTTAGAGAGGGACACTGTCAGCAAGTAGTAGAGTGAAACCAACAAGGTTGGCAAAAGTGCCTAGCTTACCAGATGACTGAGTTTTGACAACATATTACCTAAAAACTCAGATTAAAGCCAGCAGATTTTGCTATTTTGTTTTGTTTTTCTTAAGCAGTAAAACCGGTAATTTACTGATCCTGATTTGCCTGGTTCTGCATATGCCCCAGTGACACCCCTAATTATGAATTCTCCTGGCACCAACACTTACAGACAGGCAAGGGAGTCTGACAGGCTCACAGATTAGAGGCCTTGCGGTTGCCTTTCCTAAAGGAGAATCACACTTACTTGCTTAAGAGTCTGAGATCACAGGTTTAATCCAGCATCAGAGAGAAGTCCCAAGAATGGGAGAAGAAGGTGAGTGCTGAGTTCGGGACTCACGGCTGTAGACACACAGGTGGAAGGGGCCCTCGATTCCTTCCTTCTCAGGGCACTTATCACAATTGTAATTTGAAAATACATTGTTTGAATAAGTATGTATGTCTTTTTCCTGCAAGATTGGAGGCTCCTCAGAGGCAAGGCTTTTTCTGTCTGGCATGTTTCCCCTCCCCGAGGCCTGGTACATGTAGTAGCTGTTTGTGGAGTGAATGTATAGGTCCCAGTCTGGCATCAATTCCTACCTAGTGGTTACCATTTTACAAGCCACTTTACTTCCCTTTCTCATCTGAAGAACTCAAGTCAGATGGATCTTGAGTTTGCCCCTCTCTCTATTTCTGGACCCAGTCTGTTCATGTAGTTGCATTGACTCTGCCTAGCTTCATACAAGTCCAATATCTAGAACTATGATCAGTGCACCAGGAGTGGCCTGACTAGCACAGTATATTATGTGACTGTCATTCCCAAAGTCTGGAATGTCTTCTCTTTCCATTAACTGATTACTGTTTATTATTTCGAAGCTCTGGTGGTACAGTGGCATTTGACTGCTAACCAAAGGTTGTGGTTCAAACCCACCAGCCACTACATGGAAGGAAGACTGGGCAATCTACTTCCATAAAGATTTACCACCTTGGAAACCCAAAGGGGGTCGCTATGAGTTGAAATTGATTCAATGGCAGTGAGTTTGGTTTTCGGTTTTTTGGATTAATTATTTCAGAGTTAAGAACAATAATGTATACACCCCTTTCTTAACAGGGTTTTTGTGAGGACCAAGTGAAATAATGGATATGAAATTACTTCAGAAACTATAAAGCTTAGTATAATTGAACAATGATTATTATTGCTGGCCCAAAGGTATCTTCCTGAGTAGTAACTAAGGCTAAAAAGAAAGCAGTGAAGACAAAATAGTGTAAAAATGTGTATGGCTGGCCTTGTAAAAAACCAAACCAAACTCACTGCCGTCGAGTTGGATCCAACTCACAGCAACCCCTCCTTGGGTTTCTGAGGCAGTATCCCTATGGAAGTAGATCGTCCAATCTTCTTCCAAAGAGTGGCTGGTGGGTTTGAACACCAGCCTCTGGTTAGCAGTCAAATGCCTTAGGCACTATGCTACCAGAGCTCCTTGTAAAGGAGACATCATTCTCCAAGTTAATTTTTTGGTTTTTTTTAAAAAAAGTACATTTGGTTCTCTCTCAGCCAGTTCTTTAAATGCAAGATGATTGACATTGAATATTGGAAAGATCATTGAGTCATGAATCATGAGTTCTAGTCCTAGCCTTGCCACTGCCTCACTGAGCTATCAGGGGCAAGTCATTTAATGTCTCTGTCAAATGGGGCATGACTACTTCTTGAAGGTAAAATGAAAATGTAATATTAATAGCAAGAGGAAAGATGTAGACAGTCCTTCAGATATATGAAGTTGATTACATCCCTCATGTATTTTTCTTTCCAGACCCAGTTCCTCCAGTTACTTCAACTGCTCCCTATGTGACATGGTCTCTATCCCCCATCTCTACCCTGGGCATTCTCCTCTGTACGCCTGTATCCTTCTTAAATGAAGTTCCCAAAATTGAACCTTGCATGCCTCAAGTTCTTTCTTGCATTAGGACACTACAATTAATAATGTCTAAGATTGATTATTATCCTTCTACTAGAACAAAGTTAAATATGCTGTTTCATGTCTCTGGATGCAGAAGACTTAAACTGAGTTCTGAAGTACAAAATATTGTCTCATTTTTGTCTTCTAGTGACAGACATCACACCTCCAGTGCAATCCCTGTTCCACAGAGACAAAGCTCCATATTTGGGGGTGCAGATGTGGGCTTCTCTGGGGTGATCCCTTCACCAGACAAAGGACACCGAAAACGAGCCAGCTCAGAGAATGAGAGACTCCAGTACAAAACCCCTCCTCCCAGTTACAACTCGGCATTAGCCCAGCCTGTGCCCACCATCCCCTCCATGGTAGAATCTGAGAGAAAGACAACATCTCTGTCCTCCTCCTTGGATACTTCCTTGGACTTCTCCAAAGAAAAGAAAAAAGGAGTAGATTTGGATAACGGCTTAAACGGAGGCCATGGAAGTGTGAAGACTAGCCAGGAACCAGGAGAAGAAGCCCCCTCGGGGCATCCTGCCACAGTGAACGGCACTCTCCTACCCAGCGAGCAGGCTGGTGCCACAAACGCCCAGCTTCCAGGTGAGTTCCACTCCGTTTCAGAAGCTGAGCTCTGCTGTACCGTGGAGCAAGCTGAAGAAATCATTGGGCTGGAAGCCACAGGTTTAACCTCGGGCGATCAGCTAGAAGCATTTAACTGCATCCCAGTGGACGATGCTGTGGCAGTGGAGTGTGACGAACAAGTTCTGGGAGAATTTGAAGAGTTCTCCCGAAGGATCTATGCACTGAATGAAAATGTATCCAGCTTCCGCCGGCCACGCAGGAGCTCTGATAAGTAAAGTGAGCAGACAGGCGTGCTCAATAGGACCAGGACAGAGCTGCTGCTTAAAATGAGGATAAAGCTGCACTTACCCTTTGTAATAATTATGGAACAAAATGAATATTAATGGAGGATATTCCTCAGAAAAACAAATTTTTGGAATCGAGGAAAGACTCAGGATCATTATGTATCAGTGGGCCAGAAAGTTAGATTTTGCTTTCAAGATTTGCTTTTCAGAGTTGATGGTTGTTTTAAGGCAAAAGTCACTCTAATTTGAAAGAGCTGATAGCTCGAGTCACCTTCTAGGTGTTTGTATGCTTTTTATTTACACTTCTATGTTTCCTCAGAGGGAAGATGATAATATATATAAATAATGTAATGAACTCACCGATAGTTTCTCATAAGCATTTGCCCTCAACAGAGTTTATAAAACTTTGGGAAAATTGAATATTCAGAAAAAGATCTCCACCATTTACTGAAGGGTTTTTGGCCATCCATTAGGTTGATGAATAAAAAGCACAGTGGCCCTCCTTATACCCAGTCCCATCTTCCTCTTCCCTTGCCCCTCAGCGCCATAGTCAACCTGTAGACCTCATTGTTGCCCCCATCTTTATAGTGGTGAAACTGAGGGTATCAGATTCACTGTTTGGTTTGTTTAACCCAGTAGCTGTGACCTTCCACCTCTTCTAATCAGCCATGACCTTCCACCTCCTCTTAAGTAGCCATACCTTGATGTAGCCTCAAAATTAAATTAAAAGCCTCACTTCCAGTGGATTCCAGGGAACTCTCAAGGACCCCAAAGTTACTGCAGTCAGATAATGTCCAATCCATTTTGGGGCCAAAGTTTTTATGTGGGCAGATGCTGTGGTCAGAGGCTCACCAGGCTTGCTGACAGTGCACTCACCAGACAGAATCCTCATATGTAAATCCTACTTTAATTTATTAAATTTCAGTCCAGAGGAAGGCATTGTATATGATAAAATATATGTAGAGAGTCATGTTGTCCAATGTGCAAACTGCAAGGCAGTTGAAATAGCTGGAATAAAAGACTAAATGAGGAATAGAATACTGTTGGTATGTGTGCAAGTTGCATAAATATTAAATTATGTTTTGAAGTCCACTTATCATTCCTGGAGGTTAGATATCAGTTGCTGTTGCTTTATACTTTATGTACCCAAGGACATTGCCTCAGGGTTGCAAGCTTTTTAAGGAAAATTTATCCATATATCCATGTATTATATAGAAGAATAAAATTTGAGTTTACTTCACCCACCCTGGTATTTTTTGCCAGCTTTGAACTTCCTCTTGAACCTACGTCTCCATATGCTACATCATGACAGGACTAGCCTGAACAAAAGCTATGGTGGTATCTAAGCTAATGCTGTTGACTTCATTTAAGTTTACATATTATGTATAGCAACACAAACACCTCCACAGGTGTGCTCTCCAACAGCTGCATTTTTCCTACATAACAACTGATGTCTCATAATCTTGTCCTATTTTGTCCAAGCATTCTTAGGCTGAATTTTAATTTATAGCTACCTTGTTGAATGGAATAGTTCCTATTGTTGTTGTCTGTGTAAAGAGAACTCAATTACTGCATAGCAGACAGACCCAACCCTCAGGCAACTGAAAGCTTTAACTTCATCTGAAGAAGTCCATCGCCTTCCTGATAAAGAGCTGGGGTTACTCCAAGCCTAGAGCAGAAGCCATTTGTAAGGTTATGGCCTCTTTGCGATGTACAGTTGTTCATTTCAAGTCAAAGAGGGTGGACAGACATGAGACTGGGCTGCAGGAACCCTCCAAGGAAGTACCATCTACAAAACAGAGGAGGAGGGCTCTGAAGGGCTGTGTCAGTATTGAAGAATAGAAGGTGGATTGCATGTGGTTTGTGATTTCCCCAGACAAGAGAGTGGACTTTTAAACTTCGAGTGAGACTCAGACAGGGTTCATTCAGTTGGAGGCCCTCCAGCCTGGCTCCTCACACTGCCAAGCAGGAGGAGCGTGTACATGATCAGTGTGGATCTCAGGTTCTGCACAGCCAGATGGAGCCTGGCGCTTTGGGCTTCCATCCACTGGTCTCCCAATTCTCCTCCAGTCTGGGGTTCACAGATTTTCACCTCTACAGCTTGGCGCTCTGCCGTTGGAAGTGATCAGATTGCTCAGAATTGATTGATAGTCACTTCCACATTGGTTTGATCCACACTGTGGCCAATGATGTGCCTCAAAACACCACTTAGGTTTGGGTTTGTTTAGTTTGGGTTTTGGCTTTTCATCTGAGTTTGATTCCTACCGTTTCTGCCATGACCTGTCTAGAACCTACCATGTTACACATCTCCAGGAATAACTCTGTTCATTTTCCAAAGCTGCAGGGTCAGTTTTGCCTCAGCTTAAAGTGGAAAATTCGAGATGAGTTATTATCTCCTACTAATCTTTTGAATTAGTCTTATAAGTCACCAAAAATATATGTATTTTTTGCTTTGAAGATGTAAATTGAAATGGAAACTCACACTACTATCCATTTCTGAACTGCTAAGAATGCTTTCAGTTTTCATGCAGCTGAGATAACTAGCAGCCGGCAAATGTTATCAAATGAATAATTTGATTGTGTTTTCTCTTTCACTTCCCCTTACTCGTTTTAGAAATTCCAGAGATTTTGTTTTTCCCCCTCGAATATTAGTTTTGGAAGATTGTATCCAGCTATATTTTTATAGCAATCCTAATGGTGCCCATTTATCCTGACCTAACCGGTTATTTAAATAATTTTTTAAACCACCACCAATAATAAATGGCATGTGAAACTGATCTGTTGGTAATGGAAAAAAACTCAGCATCTGTATTTATAAAATAAAAATGATTAGTATTTATTTTGATAGTTAAAAGCGTATGTTATTTCCCTGCTATGTTTGAGTCCTGTCTTCATTGTTTTGAATTTCATATTGAAGCCGAGTTAACTATGCAAACCTCGTTCTGAAACAACCAGCCATTCAGCACTTACTGAGCTCTCTCTTGGTGCCAGAAACTGGGGTGAACAAGGTTAATACAGAGATTAATAAACCATGACCTCTGCTGCATTCTCTAGTGGACACACAGCTATATTAATATCTCTAATTTAGTGTAATAAATTCTATGATGGAAAGACTGTTAGCCATGCTATGGAACAAGGGAAAATAATAATTCTGACTCAAAGATCAAGAAGGTTCATGGAGGTACTGCAGATGAAGAAGAAAAAAAAAAGAGACCAAATTCGCTGCCATCGATTCAACACATAGCTACCACACTGCTTGGGTTTCCGAGGCAGTTATCTCTAATGAAATAGATTATCCAGTCTTCCTTCTGAAGAGTGGCTGATGGGTTTGAACCACCACCCCTCCTGGTTAGCAGGCAGATGCCTTAGGCACTATACCACCAGAGCTCCCAGTGCAAGGGAGGTAAGATTCACATTAGAGAGGGAGGGAGCACTAAGGACAAAGGCCCAGAGGCAAGGCGGAATGTAGTATGTATTTGAAAACGGCGAGGAGTTTGTTATACTTAGGGTTTGAGTGGACAGGAATAAAACTGAGAGGAGAAATTGAGTCTCAGGCTGCTGGGGAAGGACTTCAGGTGCCAGCTTAAAGGGACATGGACCCATGCGGTGGGCAGCTATAGATGCCCTGTCCAGGTTGTAAAGCAGGTTAGATCTGAATGGGCTCAAGCGTGGAATGATTGTGAGGATGGCACAAAAGCAGGCAATGTTTTGTTGTGTCATACACAGGGTCGCTACGAGTCAGAGCCTAACAACAACAAACGTGACTGGGAGGGTGGCATTCTCTCCAGCTCTTTACAGATTAAGAAATGGGGGTCTTTAAAAGGTCAATGATTTGACCAGGGTCCTAGCTCCAAAGGGAGCCCTGGTGGCGTCGTGCCTAAGGCACTAGACTGCTAACCAGAAGCACCTAACAACAAACCTGAATTACAACTAGCAGCTCAGTCCAAGTTGGCCTCTAACGATGCTTGTTGAGTCTACTTAATCTGCTTTCCCTTTTTGTTTGGGGGAAAAAAAATGTGTCTGAAAAAGAGGTGCATCCTTCTGTCCCTAATATTTTCCAAGTAAATCTTGAATAACAAATTGGATTTCTACTGGGCATACACTGCACCATTCCCAGGCGTGCAGTCTGCATCCCTTCTTTAGAAGCTTGATTCTGAATGCCCTGTGGCAACCATCCACCTCTCTGTACTCGGCCCCTTTGGAGCTATTTAAAAAAAAAAAAAAAAAATCACTGCCCTAGAATCAGTCCCAACTCATAGCGACACCTCCTTGGGTGTCCGAGCACCAGGCTTCTGGTTAGCAGTAAAGCGCCTTAGGCATTGGGCCACCAGAGCTCCCTTTGGAGCTAGAACCCTGGTCAAATCGTTGACCTTTTAAAGACCCCCATTTCTTAATCTGTAAAGAGTTGGAAAGAATGCTGCGCTCCTAGTTATGTTTGTATGGGGCCCGTGACGTGGCCGGTGCTTGGTCAGTGTTGGCCCCTTTCTTCCTGTGGGAGGCCTCTGCACAGTGGTGGGAACAGTGCCTGAGACTAGTTACCAGGCTTCCTGCGCTTTTACTGAGCAAAGCCAATTCACCCCTCGGAATCTGGCTCCTGATCTGGGAAGTAGGGATAATAACCCCCACCTCCCAGGGCTGTACAACTCCTGGGGTGGAAGAGAGAGTGAGAAGAGAGAAACACTTTAGTTACAGCACTTAATGATCTTTAGGAAGCACTGTGCATATCGTGAGGAGCCGTTCCTTCAACAAGGATTTCACAAGTTGTATGTATCAGGCTTTCGCGGGATCACTGAAACGCAAATGTTCATTCTGTACGTACTGAAAATGTGGACCAGAGCTGAAGCAGGTCTTTTGAAAAAATAAGCTCTAAACAAATGGAAAGTGTTTCTAGGTGTCTTGGTGGTGGGTGGCATGAAAGCAGTGCTGAGACACGGCCTATAAGCCTAATTAGCTTGATTTTCACGGTTTAGTACCTGGTAGATAAGCTTATG